TAATTATATATAATTATTTTCTTTAAACTATATCATAAATATTTGTGTTCATTTACAGGCGAGTATATTTTTTTATTCACACCTACTGATGAGTATTAATACTATGTGAAAAGTCGTGCTCCACAACCATATGAAAAAATTTAAAGCATGTACATTGATTGACCAAAAAGAAAAAATGATACCTTAGTGTTAAAATATTGTCATAGAATTTCCGCAGTAACTTTCTTTATTAAATATTAATACGAAATTCAGAATAATTACAACTTAATTATATTTCCTTTCCTTCAAAAATATTTTACAAATATTCAGGTTTATTCTTCACCTTAGATAAATGACATCGATGTAGTAAATATATGTAGGTATTTCTGACATTAAAGATGATTAAAAACATAAACGTAAATGTATGTGACATGTGCAGCTGTAACACATCACACTTTTTTTTACGAGTGAGTGAGTGAGAGGTGAATTTCTCATGTTCGAGACATCCAACCAGTAGGGCACTTACAGACTTGTCTTGTAGACATTAAAATCAATGAAATGTTTTTCCCTTGTGTGTACCTATTATACATTACTTAGTAACAAATTGGACATCTTTGAATCTGTATGGCACCTACTTAGGAATGTCGAAATGGTATGGCGTGGTCATAATCGGCAAAGAAAAAACTTTTCTACCATTAGACCAAAACATTAGCTTTGAGCTCATAATACAAGAGGGTATTAAAAAATGGCACTGTGAATTCAATATGAGAGTGTTATAAATATATTCAATATAGCGTACAGTTTGAGACACCATATCGGTATAGTATACAACTACTTCACTTTGGCTACCTAAAGGACAATATACAATAAGATTTTGCTGTGTACTCATTCCCCAATGGTATAGTTTTTTTCGACACATTTAAAAAATTGTGCAGCGCAAGGCAGACAACTTCAGGCAGCCAGACTTGCGTTTCCCTGTTCCTCATAACACTGGCTAACGTTTTAGTTTTGAGCTTCTTCATATTGACGCTCTCGTGGATGTTCAAGATGAGATTTTCATTAAGACCAACTGATGTCCAATGTAGAAATGATTTCTGATCTTTTGCGAAGGCCTCTCCCAAATTCCACAACAGTAATAGAGCAATATATCAAACATCAGAAATAAAAGTCAACAATAAGACAACATCTCGTGTTTTCCAACGAAGATTATGAGAAAATATATCATTTTTTATTGCAATGTTACAATACGAGAAACAACTAAAGCTGTATCAGACGATCGTTCCCAGTACTTGGGCCAGTGTGTTCTCATTGAACGTAAACTGAATTTGTTTGTATTATTTGTGAGTGCTTTCTTTTTATGTTCAATTTTGAGAATAAATTGACTTCTTAGGTAGCTAAGGTAACGGTTATATATTTTATTAGCGTTGAGAAACATTAAGAATGTATGTTAATTATTATTTACGATGGGAAGATAATAGTGATTCTTGACGTGTTAAATCAATCTCTTCTTTAAATAATAAAATCTTCTTAAAAAAACCCTGAAGGGATTCGGTGGTAGAGCAATTTATTGTGTAAGCTGTACCACAACTTTCAAAGATTGGTGTGAAAAGAAATCTTCAAAAATATATTAAGCTAGCTTTGCAAATAAGCAGTTCCTTGCGTGTGACGAGAGCGCGGTACATTCAATAACGATCATTGACATAATTTGTGAACATTTTGTACCAGTGACCGTGAAGAACAATGCTGCTGTTACTCATGAAGTAATGGAGAGTAAGTACTTGTATTCAAAGACTTTGAGTCAAAAAGTTCTTTGTAATGCGGATCTCCGTATATTTTCATGTAATAGCCGATCGACGAATGGAGGAGCGCGCCAACGGTGAGTAGCGGAACTTTTAACTATAACAAGAAGCAGGACGGAGCACCGAGCGTACTACCATTTAGCATACTAGGGGGCTATGGATCAATTTACCCACTTCATACGCTACGATTGGTAAAGAGTTTTACAAGTGATGGCTGAGATGCGTTAATATTGAAAGAAATTGGGGTATTCTGATATAACGGAAACCGTTAATAATGCGAGAATATATGTACAGTTTAGTACTACTATCTTACAAAAGATTTCATTAAGAACAAAATATCCATCATCAATATTGCAGTTTTGCAGATATTCATTTTTGTTTTATTTTCGGCAGTACAGAGAGATTCCCTAAATTGGAACCTGCACCATTTTTATAAACGTACTGAAGTCCATTTTAGGAAGACTATTAATTCCAAAAATTAGGGCCATTTTTGAGAAATGTTTCAAAATGTTGGTAAGGGTTGATGCAAAGTGCACCCAAAATCAAAATATCCGTTTCAAATTCACAGTGTCTCGAGTTCAGCCAGATCCATCAAAGAACAACAATGCTGTAATATCAATCAATCATCTGAACGATGTGACTGGTCTGAAAGGTTCGAGTTGACCACTGACGGACTGACTCGCGTTTTGCCTTAAACCAATTTTTCGGTATCAAGGACCCACCATTTGGGTTCTGAACACACAATGAGTTGGAGGATGTAATTTAATACACAGAGCAACGAGATATAACCACTTTTTCGTTAACAGGGCCTTACAATACAATTTTTTGTTACTAAAATCGCCGCTTTCTGCTGCGGCATTACAATACTTTCTCTTTCCTACGTAAGTAAGCAGTAGACAAGAAAGAAAACTTCGTGCTTCTCGTGCATAAACAATAAGAGCATAAAATTCATGACAATTCGAATTTTTCACGGAGAATAACAAATGTTTAACATGCATAACAGTTGTTTATGTTACGAGTTCTCTAAATGAGTGTTTAAGAACGAAACTCGAAGGTTAACTACGAGGCGGAGCGATAATGAAGCAGAGTAGTTAACCTTCCGGCTGAGTGGGCAAGTTACATACAATGTTTTTTTTTTATTTCTAGTTTATCGCTTATGCAAAATAAACTTTTATCACTTTCATGAGATAAGAATATTTTCATTACTCTCAATTTTCTGTAGCAAGAGTTGGTGGTACTGGATATTTTTTTGTGATCAAACAATAATTCTTCTGCTAATTTAAGGCAATTGAGAAAAAATGTCCGAGAATTTCAAAGCATCAGAAGATATTTTCGTGCCAGATGATATTCTGGAGGAAGCAGAAGCTGCAAGCTCTACTTTGGTGCCTTTTAAATCTGTAACCATTTATGAGAAAGCTTATGAATTATTTTGTGATTGGTGAACGAAAAGGAATGTATTGACTCGTCATACACGATTGTATATGTGCCTCAATAAATATTTTTATTATAATAATTATTATTATTATTATTATTATTATTATTTAGGCCATTACTGACCACGCTACACAATTAACGTGTGTAATTCTTCCAGGATCAGCTTTTCAGCTGTA